ACCAAAAGATTTTTGGTTCCACCCCATCCCTGCCTTCCCAGCCTTCAGGAATGAGGCTGGATTGATATTTTGGAAGTGATGCACCAACTTATACATAACAGGATGCATTTCCCAGCCTCCCACTCTGATCCTAAATCTGGGACCTGTTGACATCTCTGCTTTGGGCTCCTGCATCACCCTATTCCTCCCTCGGAATTCAGGTTTCTGGTGATGATTCACAGGATTTGATCCAGGGAGGGCCATCACCTCGTGGAGTTTGGCCTCCTGCATTTCTTGGGCCCTCTTGTTTCACACAGTTCTCCCACTCCTGAGCTCGGGAACTGCAATTTCTCTAAAATACATTTTCCACGGAGGCATCCAGGCTTCCTTTGGGGTTAAAGACATTCATTCCTTGCAAAACCAAAGTTTCATCACTTCCCTGCTGATCTTCTCACGATTAATCCCCTCTACCATCAAAAGGTGAAGCCCTGTCTCCTGTCTGAATACCTCCAGCATTAAGATTAATTTGATTCTTCCCTTTCTTGCTTATTAAACTCTTCTGCATCCAGCATTTTTCCCTTGTGGAAGGGCTTTTATCCTGCTTCAAGCCAACACTTGAATCTTCTCTGATAAACTAAACAGATTGAGCTCTTTGAAGTCCTTTCAATCTGGCACATTCTCCAGCCTTTGAATCATTTTAATGCCTGTTTTCTGCTTAAAAGGTATTTTTACAGCCACAGATCACTCCGCAATAAATTATGACCTAACTGGAAATAAGTAGGTGGGTAAAACCACATTTTCCCACCTTTTTTTACCCCTCTCATCCTCAGGGAGCCAGAGGCTGCAGCAAAACTTTCAGGAGTTAATATTGGAGGCCTTTTCCAACCTTAATGATTGTCTGAAATTCCTAATAAAAAGTGTTTTCTTGTTTCTGATCCAGTTTTCAAAGCGCTGACCCGCCCGAAACTCCTTTTTTTTGAACATCCCCGCAGCGAAGGCAGGAGAAAAAGAGTTGCAACAAAAACGGTGCTGACGTCTGGAATCGGGAGATATTCCAGATTCCAAGTGATGTACAGGGAGCAGGGGAGGGAGGAGGTGCCATTTCTGTACAATCACACGTCTGCTCATCTCTGCACCCTCAGGAGAGGAGAGGATTTAGAGATGGGAAGCGTGTGACAAACAGGGAGAGAAGAGATGGGCGAGAAACGTGGGTAGAACAGGCAGTGGGGGGGCAGGAATGGTGGGAATTCAGGGCTGATCCAAGGCAGAAGCATCAGAACTCCATCCAAATCCTTTCTGGGAGCAGACCCAGGGACGGTTAATGCCATAAATTTGCTGCTGTCTAATTTTGGGTAATCCTGAGGGTGCTCCATTAGTAGCTCCTGGAGACTTCCCTGGATTTTTAACCGTGCTCAAGAGCACACTCATCATGGAATTGTAGAATCATGGAATGCTTTGGGTGGGAGGGGACCTTTAAGACCATCCAGTTCCAGGGCAGGAACACCTTCCACTATCCCAGATTGCTCCAAGCCCCATCCAACCTGACCCATGGCAGGGGTTGGAATGAGATGAGCTTTAAGGTCCCTTCCCACCCGAACCATTCCATGATTCTGTGACTGTTCCAAAGCCTGGATCAGCATCAGGGACAGACCAAAGTCAAGGAGGCAGAGCTAGGAAATCTTGGATTATGCAGCCAGAAAAAGAGAGGTGAAGTCTTAGATATGCTGAGGTTGTGCTGCAGCAGAGGATGAAGCAAAGGTGGGACTGGAGCATCCTGAAGATTTCAGCGTCAGTCTGGAGAGTGCAGGGCTGTGCTGCCTTCAGGGAAGGGCGGGAATCTGGGAGATGATTTGCCTGCCACTGGGGCAGATGCCTCCAGTGGCATTTGCAGCAAAGGCTGCAGGGCTTAGCCTAAGCCAGCCTTGAGCTTGAGCTTATTTAAAACCACCCGAAGGCACAGGTGTGAGAAGGGAGATCTCGGGAGCAACCTGGGCCTCCAGCTGCATCCAAGGACAGCAGGAATAGGAACAGCTCCAAGGCCTTGGAGGATAGGACACAAAACATGGGCTTGATGAAGGCAGTGGGTGATTATCCCAATTTGGGGCCATTCTGCTGCTAATTAATGCTTCCAAGTGCCTGGAGAGGCAGAACTTTCTGTGGGGCTGAGCTCAGAAGTGTCTCCAGGAGCACTGAGAGCAAACGTGTGTCTTTCTTTGATCAAAGACCATTAGCATTGCTCTTGGCTACATAAACATCTCCCCGCTCCACTCGAATTCTCCGACCCAAAACTCAGATCTTTGACTATTCATCACTCGCTGGGGGCAAATCCTTTCCCGAGTTCAGCTTGTTGGCTTTGGGGTTGGTTGTTTGGTTTTTTTTTTCCGCTCGATACTTTTTTTTCCCTTCTGACTTTACCCCCCCCCCAGCAAATAAAGCGAATCAGAACTGTACAAATAAAAGGAATGTCATTTCCCAGCCCTCTCAGGAGACGCTCCTGCTGAGAGAGACAGAGCCAAAGCTGTCGACTGCGGCAGCACTGACAATGTCCTTCTCTGCAGGAACCCCCTTCGCGGGCTGTCACAGCGAGGACATCTCTGGGCTCTGTAACGATCAGCCACGTTTCCCTAGTCGTGCTTAATAGCTGTTTTATGTGCGTTTATAAGCTGGGCTTTCCCCCTCCCTCTTTGATCTGCCTGCTGGAAAAATCCTTTGCAGCCTTTCCCCACTTCCCAGGTCACCCTCCTGAGCGCGGGGGCGGTTTCGTGGGAGCGGGGCGGCCACGTGTTGGCGCTTTTTCGGGTCCAGCTCCCCACGGATAAAGGTCAACATCATAAATCCTCGGCTGGGTTTTGATCCCGATCGTCCCCCTCACTGTAAAGGGAACAAAGACCGGGCTTGTTATCCCGCTCCTGACGGTTTCCCTGCCTGAGGATTGAATCCGTCGCCGGGGCCGCGTGAGAGTAGCTCGGGTTTTGCCCGTGTGAGGAGATTCCAGGCATCCAATGCCTCCCCGAGTCAGGATTAATGAAATTCCTAAAATAAAGAGGTGGGAAGGCAAAATTCTGGTCTGACACATGAGGCACCACACACTGTACTCCCAAAGAGTTCCTATGGAGCCAGGATGGGAGAGCTGGGGGTGTTCACCTGGAGAAGAGAAGGATCCAGGGAGAGCTTAGGGCCCCTTCCAGAGCCTAAAGGGGCTCCAGAAGAGCTGGAGAGGGACTGAGGACAAGGGCTGGAGGGACAGGACACAGGGAATGGCTTCCCACTGCCAGAGGGCAGGGTTAGATGGGAAATTGGGAAGGAATTGTTGGTTGTGAGGGTGGGGAAACCCTGGCACAGGTTGCCCAGAGAAGCTGTGGCTGCCCCATCCCTGGGGGTTTGGGTTGGAAGTGACCTTAAAAATCATCTCATTCCACCCCCTGCCATGAGCAGGGACACCTTCCACTATCCCAGGTTGCTCCAAGCCTGGCCTTGGACACTTCCAGAGATGGGACATTGAATCCAGGGGGGTTTCATGAGCACACTGATAACTTCCTGACACGGATCATCAAGAGACAATCAACAGGGGAAGAGGCTCTGCTGGACCTCCTGCTTCCAAGGAAGGAAGGGCTGGTTGGGGATGTGAAGGTCGGGGACCTGGAGATGACAGAGTTCAGGATACCAAGAGGGACAAAAAGCAGGATCACAGCCCTGGAATTCAGGGGAGCAGACTGAGGCCTCTTCAGGGATCCGTGTGGAAGAATCACACGGGAGAGATGAGAGGTCCAGGAAAACCAATCGATTCCCAGGCTTTAGGAATTCTTTCAATGCTGTCCACCATAACATCCTGGTAGATGAGCTGATGAAGTAAAAATGGAAAAGGAAGTGGACTGAAAACTGGGACACATCAGGAAGGGTGAAGGTGGCAGGTCAAGGGATATGGATTCTTCCCCTCTCCGCAGCGCTGGTGAGGACAGACCTGGAATGTTCTGTCCATTCCTGGGCTCCCCAGCACAAGAAATAACATGGACTTACCGGACCAAAGCCAGCGTAGGGCCACGGAAATGATGAAGGAATTGGGGAATCTGATGTTCAGGGAGGTTGTGGGGTCTCCATCCAAGAAGATACTCAAAGCTCATCTGGGTTTTGAAGCCTTTAGTTGATCCCATCTGGGAGTTCGGACTGAAGGATCTCCTCAGGTTTCTTCCAAACTCACCCATTCAGTTCTTCTCTTTCTGTTTTGTAGTTTGTGTTTTTTTAAGCTGTATTTTCCTCAGGACATATGGAATCCCCTTTAAATATTCCATTTTCTTTGTGTGTTTGTGTTTTCCAGGTATTTGAAGAAAGAAGAGCCCTCCTTGGAAAATGGGTAAACTTCTCCCTTTAAATGTATATTTAAATACGGATAAATTTTGGGACTGATCGAGGGATTATCTGATGGGGATGTAAAACTTACATCCTGTTTTGAAAAAGGGATTAATTTTCCTGATGGGAAAGTGAGCCTTGGCCTGACAGAGGGTCTTTGAAATCTGTAATAAATGACATTTTATCTACCAAGTGCACGCCTAGAATCATGGGATGGTTTGGGTTGAAACTGGGGCTTATTCTTTATGGTTAATAAGTCATTAATGACATTTTTTTTGCATGTGGACTGGTCTTTACGGGCAAATATTTTGATTTTAAGGATTTTTTGGTCATTATAGGAAATATTTCCGTAACTTGTTGGCGTGAGTGCATTTTGATGATAAGAATTTCAGGGACACCAAGAAAACTAAATAATGGAATGATTATTGTTCATAAAACACCTTTGTGTGTGATATCAGCAGCTGAGAGACCTAAACCCCTTGGAAATCCCTTGGAAATTGCTGGCAAAGGGGCAAAGATGTTTCTGTTAGAACTGAAAGAGCCAAAATGTGGGAAGAACATTTCCAGAGATCTGAGAAACCCCAAACGTGCAGCAGCTCTGCAGAAACTGCTGGGAATTCTGCTGGATCACCAAGTGGACACGAGCTGCCAGTGTCTTACAATGGCAATAAGGGGGGAAATATCCCCAAGTCATTCCCAATTCTGCTCCCTGCATTTTGGGAAAGCTGAGGACCAGCCGGAGACACTCTGAGAACAAGATGTGAGAACAGACTCAGGTCCAGAAAATATGGAAACAATCCCTGTACTGAAGGGAAAATGGAGGAAAGATGTAATAACATCTAAGGATGCACAAAAGAGGTTCAAAAAGGGGAAGGGAATGATCTGATCCTTGTGTTCCCACTGGATGGGACAAGAAATCAAGGGATCGAGTTGCAAGAGCAGAGACACAATTTAGACACGAGCAAAATCCAGTTCTACAGAAAATTCCTTGCTGGAATAGGTTGCCTAGGGGTGGAATCTCCATCCCTGCAGTCCTTTGAGAACAGGTTGGATGAACACAGTCAGGAATGGTTTAGGAAGAGCAAATCTGAACCAGCTCAGTGTTCCTCAGCCTTTTCCACTGAAGGACCATCCAACCTTCTGGAAAAGCAGGTGCTGGGTCTCCAACAAATCCCTCCATCGGGGAGAAGATGGTTGGGGAAGGAGGGGGAAATTGCTTCTCCACCCACTTGGCAAAAGAGCCTCGTTGAGTGGAGAATCCATTCCCACTTTTGTGGAGCACGGGGATGCCTGTGGATCATAACCCCTGACCTCAGGTCCGTGTGCTGGGCTGGAGGTGAGGGTTGTGTCCCTTCCCAGTTCCAGGCAGGGAAACACTCGTGTCCTCCAGCAGAGAGGGGCCCCTCTGGGATAAGCTGCAGGCCTGGGGCTGGCCCTGCTGTCAGGCTTCCCGATTTGTGTGTGTGCACTCAGGGATTAATTGTAAACCGATCCCAGGAGCGAGGCCCGAGCAGTGCCAGCACTGATGTCACACCATCCCTGGGGAGACATTGTTTGCCAGCGCTTTGGGAAAGGCCCAGACGAGGGGAAAAGCCATCCCTGGCTGTGGGGAGAGAAGGTGAAGCGAAGGGAATCCGGTTGGACTGGTTGGGTTGCCGGGATCACAGGCGAGGGGAGGATCTGTGGGGAAAGGCAGCCAAATGTGGGATGGGGACATGCCTGTTAACTGCTGGAAAAGACACAAATTCCACCAAATTCCACCAGCTTAACTCCTTGGCTGCTGCTGGGTGCGATGGAGAAGGGGCCGAGTGCTCCTGGCACTGATTTAAACGGAGCTTCCCTGGCACAGGGCGCTGGAAGGAGTCACTCCCTCGGAAAACCCTTGGCGGGATGGAAAGGGTTAAACAGGAGCAAATCCGTCTCCCGGCAAGTGAAGCCCGATTTGTTTTGACTGGTTCACTCGAGCTCTTGATGTGGAAGAGAATGAGCCAGTGACTCCCTTGTCTCTGGAGCTCGGAGGAGGAGAGAAACTTAACTTGGCAAATTGGGGATTGGGGATTGTTTTAATGAGAGGAGGACGTGGATGTGGCCCTGAACGGGCAGTGTCCGCAGCATTCCTGGGACAGGGAAAGCCTTTTCTATCCGGCTGAGGGGGAGAAGGGGACAGGCAAACCCTCCTCTGTCCCCCTCGATTTTATTTGTGACAGAACCACAGAATATTCCCAGCTAGGAAGGGACCCAGAAATTCCCTTTCCAAGCCCCAAATCCCAAGGTCCTGCTTCAGCTTTTCCCTGCTAAACATCATTAGAGGTGGAAGTCCTGGGCAAAACAGGGATGAGAGGAAAGGGGAGTGTTTCTTAAATTCCATTTGTGTCTAAAAAGGGGCATTTGGGAGCTTTTCTCTCTTTGACTTCTCATCTCTTTGGGACATCAGGAATGCCAATTCCATCCTTCCTTCATTCTGACCTTCTCAAGATCTTGCAGAGGGGTTTGCAAGAAAGGGAAGAGCTGTTTACTCTCCGGTGCTGGAATTCATCCAAGTAAAAATACAGAGTGAAACAAAGAGTTCTTCAGGATGGTCAGGAAAGAAATCACTTCTCAATTACCTTTCATCTGCACAGGATATTTTAAACTATTATTCTGCCAGAGCATAGATTTGTTAGGGGGGAAGAAGAGGGAAAACAATCTGACTTTCTAGTCTGTTTTGTTCTGAAAGGAAAAGGAAGGGACACAGGACATTAAACCATTTACACATAGGAATAAAGAAAACCCTGGGAAAAAA